GGAGCCGCCCCACCCACATGTTTTCCGGGTCCGACGACTTCTGGTAGACAAAGCTTCTGTCTCTCCCATCTGGGGCTTCCACCGCCGTGAGGATCGGGCAGCTATTCCCGCACGCCGTGTACATCCTGTCGAGGAAGTCCCCTTCGTCTCGAGCGGGAAGCACGGGCCCCCCTTTCGTGGGTGCCGGTTGCTTTGTGACAACCTTAGCGGTGCGCGTCACCTCTCTCACGCTTTTCTCAGCATCGGAAACGGCTCCGGCATCATCCAAGTTCACCGCCCTGGAGGTGCCCATGGCGCAAACGCCGGTGTCTGCAATCTCCTCAGGAATGAGCATACTTTCAGAAGCATCGTGATCGCTTTCAGAATGTCGATCTTCACTACTCCTCAAAATCAACGCAACAGATGCTCCCGCCACGTCTGAGTTCGTGCCAGTCCCACCATTTTCCTCCGGGGGTTCTAAGGCCTCATCTCCGCCTACATCTCGAACGTCCTCTTCGCCGGGCATTTCCCAAACGCACGGCAGCATGCGACGCTCGTGGATGATGCCGCATTCCTGTTCGCGCACGTTGCACTCGGAGGGCTCCTCCTCGGGGATTGTGTCGACGGGGCTCCTGTAGAGGGGCATGTGACATGTGTTGAGATGCCAGTTCACCCCGACGTCCGACCTGGGGATCTTCACAGAGGGCGGCACAGAGCCGTATGTCGGGGCGGCACCAACATTGCTTGACTTCAAGTCTTCCTCGTCGCTCGTGACGGACGTCAGGGAAGACGTTTCCTCGGAAGACTGTCGATCGTTTTCGTCGCAAGTCGACTCGGCGGATGCCGCTAAGGAAGAATGGACGCCACTGAATAAAGAATTATCATTGCATTGACCGCTGATGCCGTTTTGCACGCCCTGGGAAAAGGATTCATTGTGGGTTAAATAATTGTCTTCAGGTTCAAGGCCATCATGCATTTCACTGTCTACTTCTTCTTCTCCGTTCGTAATAATTCCATTAACAACGGATGATGGTAACCCAGGATCCCCATGTGTTTCCTGAACATGATTTGTGTGCAATACTGTCTCAGTGTTGCGAGATGGACCGGAGGATTTCTCATAATCTGCGGCATCGCCAGGCCTCTCCGCAAGAGGCGTACCCTCGGGCGGAAGATGTCTGATGTCCTTCCACGCCTTCAATAGTTTCTCTGAGGTGCTCGCCTGGACGGGCGAAGACCTCTTGGTGTGGATGCAGTCCTCATCCTCAAGGCTTCCAAGCTGGCCGAGGAACTCGAGGAAGGAAAGGGCCTCATCACGCAGCTGTTCGCAACGCTTGTCAGTGGCAGGACGGTGCCGGTATCGGCTTGGACAGCCATTGCACTGCACCTCTGAGGCAGGACTTGCGACATAGTTGCTAGTTTTATCGAGCATCAGCTTGTCCTTGCACTTTATGATGTTCTTGAGAATCTGAACAGACATGAGCTCGTTGCCATCCCTCGGCAACAATTTAGCCTCCTCACAGCAATGCACTAGTTGCTTCTTCTTGCCTATGTCCGAAGGGTGCAGGTCTTTCTCGAAACTTCTTACCTTCATGTTTAGCGACTGAGTTGTCAAATGAGGTGACCTCTGGAGGGCCTCCCTTATCACAGAAATCTCCGTCTCAATGCCCTGCTTCCTCAGCCGACAGTCAACACCAGTGGACGGATCATCGCCCCTGAAGATGGAGCTTGAGGCACCGTCTTGCACTTCCCCATTCACTTGGTGGGTTTCGCCCGAGCCCATCCCCAGCTCGGTGAGGTCGTCTTCCAACGCCTCGGGATTGGAGGAGATCTTCACCAGCCACTCCCTAATGGTGTCGTTTGGTGACGTGGACGGCAAAGACGCGGGCGCCACGAAGTGCGAGGCGTCCCTCCTCGCGCCTCCCACGTGCCGCGTTCTCTCCGCGTCCGACTCGTCTCCATTGAGGGCGCTGCCGCCATCGCCCCCGACATCCCGCGCACCATTCTCGTGACTTCCGAGCGCCGCATCACATTCCCCTTCACCGCCGCGCGGCGTCTCCTGCGCACTGCCTTCCACCGGCTTGCGCCAAGGCTGCCGAGCCGCACCAGCCCCATTCTCAGCCTGCTCTCTGAGCCGCGTCTTTCTCGCCGACGTGCTGGGCTTTCCTTCCGGGGGCAGCGGCTGCCACGACGGCCTCGGCGCCGTGTGCAGTCGTGCGCGCACGGCGTCGGCGCCAATCTCATCGGCACGCGGGGACCGCTCCCTGGTGTCCTCCCGCGAGGGCGCATGAGCCACCGCGGTCTGACCGGCGCCATCGTCGTCGACATCAGCCCGCTGGTCTCCGTCCGTGTCGTTAACATCGGTCTGCCGGTTTCCATCCGAATCGTCCACATCGGCCCGCCGGTCTCCATCCATGACGTTGGGCGCCGTCACGCGTTTGTCGCACGATGCAGACGTGGCAGAGCGTGACTCGGACCGGTCGGTCTCGTCGACGTCGGCCGTGGCCCCGTTGCTGTTGGTGTGCCGCGCGAGCGTCTCGGCATTGCTCGACGCGCTGCTCAGCCGCTCCTCGCCGCGCGGCTTCATCGCATCCACATCGCCCACACGCCTCTGGCTATTCACTGCAAGACCGAGTGAAGGATCCTCTGCCTCGCAATTGCCTTCTATAGATACAATGCCCGCATCAGCCTCCTGAAGAGAATTCGGCCTCTTGAGCAAGTGTTCGCCACTCCCAGTAACTTTCCGATGATCCTCGACATCATCAGTGTCCTCGGCATCGCTTCCACTCCTGCTTACGACGTACGTGTTATCGCTGGAGCAATTCGACGTTGCCACTTCCCGTTCATCGCCGTGGCTCTCAATGTTGCCCTCCACCAGCGCGTGGTCCACTTCTACGTCCTTACAACTTGCTTTGCTTCCCCAGCGACGTAGCGCGTCATTCTCCGCGCGCTCACGCATTTCCATCACGGCGTCCCTCGCTGCGGTGCCTGTCGAGGCCTCCTCCTCCTCATTACTGCGCCCGCACGGGGATGAGGAGGAGGCGGCGTCGCCAACGAGTCGGGCGCCAGCCGTTGAAGGCCTCTGCACAGATGGAAACACCCGGCCGCTCCTGCTGAAAACGCGCCGCCTCAGCGTGTGGAACTCCAGCGCTCCCCTCCTATCTTGTCGCTGCTCCATGAAGGCCACTACCTTCTGCAGAAACTCCTCCCGAAAGTCCGAGCCTACCGCCGATGACTGCCGTGACTCTTGCCGCAGCACGAAGTCCTCGTTCGCAGGCGGCGACGACGGCGGAGGCGGCGGCATATCCCTGTCGGGCGGGCTGGCGCCGGGGCAGCTGAGGTCCAGGCTGCCAACGTCGAAGGGGTTGGGGCTCATCCTGAATGCTGGATTCTTCCAGATGTCATAGTTCACAGGCCCTTCGAGGAGTTCCTCCGTGGTTTGCCAACACTTTGACGCCGAGCCGCGCTCTGAGCCGGTTCCCACTCGGCGCAGTGCGGGGTCGCTGAATTCCATGGGAGGGCGGGTGCCGGTCAGCCTGCTCGTCCGCACATCGCCCGCGTTGGCGGCGGCGGCGCCACTCTTGTGCGCCGTGCTCTCGCGGCTCACGCGCGTTTTCCACGTCACCACCTCGTTGTGCAGGCGGAAGCGCACGCGCATCTCCACCGTCATGCTGCCATCTGGGTTGACGTGGATTCTCTTCTCGATGTCATCCTCCTCCATCGGCACCACCTTGGTTCCCCATTCTCCTCCGCCTCCTGCTTCTCTTCCTGCTCCTCCTCCTGATGCTGCTGCTGACAGCGGAAACATCTGATATAGGGTCTGGTCTTGTTGCTGGGACTGAGCTGAGGCTTGCGAATGGTCTGATGCCAGCGCGTGGGCCGGTGCGGTGAGGGTGCTGGTGGAGGAGGCGAAGGCAAAGCTGTCGTTGGTCGTGTAGTCGCGCCTGTAGCTCTCCGCCGCCCCGCTATCGCTATGTGCCCGGGGTCGGGCCTGTAGCGGCCTGATCCCCAAGGGCTTGTCCAGGTAGACGGAGAAGCGCTTCGAGCTGTGGCTGGAGGGCAGCTGTGGGTTTACACGCCTCTTGTGCAGCACCGCCCCAAGGTTGACTGCGCGGTGTTTATTTGGCAGCAGAAGGGACAGAGTTGAGTTAAGTGTACAAAGGAGAGAAGCGAAGCCCGGTCCGTCGTATTGAGGGCAGCAGTGAGGACAGTGCAAGACAAAGGGGTGAAGGAGGAGGAAACAGAAAAAGGAAATTACAATTTACCAAGTTTCACAACAAAGTGATCAAAGTGGTGGATAACTCAGTGCCACTGGATGCACGCTTAGAAAAGGAAAGGAAACGACTTGCGAGATGACATGAATCAAAGTGTGAGAACAATGTTGTTTTGTAAAGGCTGAATAACATTCAGGATTTCGTATGCAAGGTGAAAAATTAGGATATTTAAAACACCTTTCAGATTGTAATGCTAATAAATTGTTAGATTTTGTTACAAAACCACTATTTGTGTAAATACGAACATATGTTATCAAGTTATCAAGTGAAACTGCAGTGGTAGATGTTGGCATGTATAGTGGATGTTGGTGGGGTTTGTGTGTGTGTTATGATGGGCAGTAGTGTAGTGGTTAGAGCACTGGGAATCCCCTAGATTAACTCAGCTTTAAATGAGTACCTGGTGCGATGCATAAAAATATAGCACTGGGAATACAAAGGTGGTCGGGCATCATATTGGCCACCCACCCTCTCGATCGCTAAACAGCACTTGCCCCAACAGTCTACTTAGGCTACAGGGGATACCTCTGTCTTTCGTTCTCACGTCAACAAGCGATTACAATGCACGCGGAGTGGTCGTTCTTGGCGTGCTTGTGTATTTAGCGATAGGTGCCCTTCCTGATTGTGTACAGCGCCGGAGTTGCCAGAGTTCTCGTGTGCGGTGCGGCCAACCGCAGGCACTGGAGAGGGCGCGGCACCGTCACGCAGCACAAACCGTGACGGCAGCGAGGGTCACCGGAATCGCGCACTCACTCGTCTTGCCCTCGGCCCGGGCGGCACCGCGAGGGTTCTGCAGCAGCGGCAGCCGCGCGGCGTCGTAGAGCAGCGGCTGAAACGGCTCCCGACCGGCGGCCACCAGCGTGGATGGCACGTGCAGCAGGGCCTGCAGGCTCTCCACCTGCGCGGCACGGCAACGCGAGCGTTCGGTGAGTGCGTGCAACGGCTGCGCGCGCCGCTCGGCAAACGCTGGCTCGACGCACGCGTGGGAAAATACACACACCGCGTGCGCTCTCACTCGGCACGAATTCAATCGATGCGTGGCAACATATACCAGCATATAGAGGCAACACACGTGCAGCAACATACAACGATGGCGATTCAGATGATTTTGCTGATGTTGACCGTGGTGATGATGAGAATGACAATGACTCTGCTGATGATGGCACTTCTGATGTTCACGACAATAATCATGACTCTTCCAATGATCCCGCTGCCACCTCTGTCGATAACTCTTGATGACTGCAACGGACAACCTCGCTACCAGTCTCAGCAACGAGCCGCTGCCACCTCCGCCACGAGCACCACCACAACCAGACGCGCATGTGGGGCAAGTGCTCTTAGCGTGCACCTATGAAGGCCAGCACGGCACATGAGGGAGTGGGTATCCAGTACCAGGCCCGGCCACCTTTGTCTCCCCAGGGAAGACAATCGTCACTGATGAGCAGGAATCGAACTCGGTCCACCGAGTTCGTAGCGCAGTGTGCTAACCGCCGCACTGCCACAACACACACCTACACAGGGACACACGCGCGCACAAGCACGCGCTCATCACCTTGCGCCCATCGGTGGTGTAGAGCCGCGCCACGCTGAAGCCCATGATCTGGGAGGCATCGGCGAGCAGCCCGGCGAGGCCGCTGGAGGCGGAACGGCGTGACAGCAGCAGGGCGTAGCGCGGCCCCGTCGCATCGCCGTTGCGCACCAGAGTAAGACGACGCGGGGTGGCGCGCGCCAACCTCGGCTCCTCCGCTCCCCCTCCCATCTCCTGCCGCCGCAGCAGACGCAAAGCCTGACGGCGGCTGCTGCTGCTCGTCAGGGGGCGGCGGCTGCAGGGACGGGGCATGGGAAAAGGTTAATATTCGGGTGTCGCTAATATTTGGTTGTTAATATTAGGGTGTCGTTAATATTGGGGTGTCGTTAATATTACGATATCTGAGTGATCAGTTGCACAACTTAAATTGCCACTATGCGGACGTCTCTGCAACCAGTTGCGAGCACCCTGCTACTGGACATCCGAAATGCGATGAGTGTCTGTGCAAGACACACCTATTCAGACTTGCTTTCCCATAAAATATAAAATTTTAAATAAAAACTGTTTCCTTACTTGCTCTTTATTTTGTTAATTATTATTGACGACTCACCTTTCTCACGCTATTCGTTGCGCACGGTTGCACTTCATTTTGCGCGCGGTTCCAATTTACTTTGCTCAGTCGGTGTTAGCCGCTGAGGGTGTGACGGGTTTCTTTTTTCATTCCAATTGCTGTATGCCCCCTGTACCATTCCCGTTCTGCCGTGATGTGCGCTGATGCACTACTTTATTGACGCCAATATTGGCACGGAGAACAAAGAAAGAGTTGCACGACAAGTCGCTCGACTTTCACGCGCCGCTCTCGCTCGTCGATTATCACGTGACACGCGTGCGAACTGCGATCGGCCGTCACATTCCTGAACACGACGTTTCATATCCAACTATCCACCGGGACGCGGACAAAGCAACCGCGGACGGCGACCGAGCCGAGCAATTCGAAGAGCGACTTTGTTTACGCGAACCCGACCGCTCAGGCGTGGGGCCCTTCAGCCGGGCCTGACGCTCAGGCGTCCACAACTCATGAGCCGAAAACCGAATCCGAACGAGTGCAAAGCGAGGGTCTCTCCGCACGCACCTCGACCTCCAGGGCTGGGGGCGGCGCGAGGCCTGCTCCAGGTCGAGGGGCTTGGCACGGCGGCGGTCGGAGCAGACGTAGGCCTTGCCGTCCTCGAGCTGCTCGAGGTCGCGCACTGCGTGGAGGCCGCGCGGCGTGCTCACGGTGCGCACGCCGAAAGGCAGCGGCATGCGGCGCGACAGGTTGTCCAGCAGCGCATCGAACGTCTTGAACGTGCGGTTGTTGATGGCCACCTGCCGCGGGGGAGAGAGAGAACGTGACGGCGCCAGCGGGCGGGTCGGCGGAATCATGAGAATCGGAATCTTTATTTAGGCTGGAGGATTCCGATGAGCTATGAAGCTCTTTTGCACAGATGTCCAGTGAAACGCGCAAGCGCCGGCGAGGCGAGTGGTGTCCTGCAAGGCCTCGGGGTCCAAGTGTCACGTGCACAGAAACTTGGATGTCACACGGGGTCGTGACCTCATTACAGCTGCGTGTGCGACCGCGATTGTTCACCTCTTGTCTCCGGGTATCTCATCTCTACCTCTTGTTTGTCTTGTTTTTCATCTCACCGATCGTTATCGCTCGCCTCCAGCGTTGTATTATTACCTAAATCAGTTTCATTGCCAATGTGTTTTCAGTCACGTGAGCACCAAATCGCTGACCCCCTATGAGAGTGAGGAGAAAATAATGCAGTGCGTAAAAATGTTTAATTTATTTGTCCACAAACATAGCTAACCCGCAGCCTGGATAATCCGCTCACAGCTAGCTAAGAGAGGACTGTACTCATCTGACCTCAAGTTGTTCAAAAGAGCACAGGTGCTCGCTTTAGTCGCCCATACAGGCTATACCCGCGGGGTCAAATCTGTCCACCCCGAATCTCATCTCACTTTCCATTGCAGCTATACCCGCCTGTACAACGCAGCCGCCTTTGTCGAATTTCCCCTCCACGCGTCGTGATCCATCGACCCCAGGCCAAGCCTCCGCGTCGCGGAGTGCCCGCGCTCAGAGTGGCGAGAAACGCACCCCGGGCGCGCCCATCGACAGCGGTTATCGTCGCGCACCTTGAGGCCGCCGAACTGCGGGTCTCCGCTCTTGTAAAAGTAGACCCTCTTGGCGGTGATGGGCTCGGCCAGGGCGGAGGCTCCCGCGTGGCGCACGCCCAGATAGTGCGCGAGGGTGCCGTCCGGGGGATGCGTGAGAGCGTGCGACTGCTCGCTCGACGGCGTGCCGTTCATCTGCTCCGACTGCATGGGGGCGAGCGCTGCACACACACGCACATGCCCGCGCGCGCACGCGAATAAATCCGCGTGTAAGGCACCGTTCGCCACTTGTGCTAGGCTAGGTGCACTTTGAGACCACGTGGAGTGTCGAAGGCTTGCCGACAGGAGATCGTGGGACAGATCCAGGTGTTATGGGTTGATTGACTGAGATGTAAATGTTGTGAGTTTACTCTCTAGCACACCGGTGTGCTGAACTAGTAACGAATGGGCATGTTTTGTTTACGTGACAAACGTTACTAATTGGCTGTGATGGGTGGTGACGGGTTTAACGACACATTTATATTTGCGCGATATAACCCAAAAACCTCTGTTATGGATATGGTCCCAAAAGTCTACATGTTAAACTGATTGAGATGACTGACAGATACACCAACTGTGCCCCCTACTGTGCCACATTGCTGCGTTTTATCCGCCCGGTGCTCCGCTCATTGTTGTTGCGAGCATGGCTCCTCTGCCCTCTGTTGTTATTGGAGGGCAACTGCCTCCAACTGCCCAGTAGCGTCCTGAACGAGCCTACTCCACAGAATCTGATCTTGACACCGTTGTTACCAGTTTTTTGGCAAGTCCACTCTTTCAAGGATCTGTGAGCTTCTCACACAATCCAGCCTTGTTCAATCCAAGATGGACCGTAGGCAAGCCAGCTTGAATGTTAAAAACCGGCACAGATATTGTATTGGCAGGGTCTACGTTTCGCAAGCGTCGGACAGGGAGGGAGTAACTGTAGCTGAGAAGACCCAAAGTTCTGTGTGGAGCGACAGGTCAGGTTTCACACAATGTTACGCAGCTGATGAAAAGATAATACGGCGCGACTGATTCTGAGTGAGACCATATAAGCACACTGACAGGAATGGAAACTTCTCCACTCTCCCCACAACTGCTTGATCACTCATGGGGAGGTGGAGTAGTTCATGACATAAAATACCCAGGCAGGTGCTTCATTTTGGTGGGGATGATGGTAAGGCCCATTTCTTAGTAGCATGCTGCAGGTTCAGCAACAGTCTCCAACTCCTCAGCTTGAGCAGAAATTACCAGATCATCAGAATACATAACATGTTTTACCAATAGACAGCCATTCCTTGACAGCACCCAGGTATCGCTCAGCCTCCCACTGTATCTGTACCAGATGGAAATTCCTCTGGTACAGCCATGGAAAGCTTCTCGAACTACATGGTAAAATAATGTCAAGTAATGTAGGAGCCAGAGGACATCCCTGCCGTACCCAAGGTGAACAGGGAATAGCTCTGACTCCCGGCCACGTGGCTATACAGTGAGGGAAAAAAGTATTTTATCCCCTGCTGATTTTGTACGTTTGCCCACTGACAAAGAAATGATCAGTCTATAATTTTAATGGTACGTTTATTTGAACAGTAAGAGACAGAATAACAACAAAGAAATCCTGAAAAACGCATGTCAAAAATGTTATAAATTTATTTGGATTTTAATGAGGGAAATAAGTAATTGACCCCCTCTCAATCAGAAAGATTTCTGGCTCCCAAGTGTCTTTTATACAGGTAACGAGCTGAGGTTAGGAGCACTCTTAAAGGGAGTGCTCCTAATCTCAGCTTGTTACCTGTATAAAAGACACCTGTCCACAGAAGCAATCAATCAATCAGATTCCAAACTCTCCACCATGGCCAAGACCAAAGAGCTCTCCAAGGATGTCAGGGACAAGATTGTAGACCTACACAAGGCTGGAATGGGCTACAAGACCATTGCCAAGCAGCTTGGTGAGAAGGTGACAACAGTTAGTGCGATTATTCCCAAATGGAAAAAACACAAAAGGACTGTCAATCTCCCTCGGCCTGGGGCTCCATGCAAGATCTCACCTCGTGGAGTTGCAATGATTATGAGAACGGTGAGGAATCAGCCCAGAACTACACGGGAGGATCTTGTGAATGATCGCAAGGCAGCTGGGACCATAGTCACCAAGAAAACAATTGGCAACACACTACGCCGTGAAGGACTGAAATCATGCAGCACCCGCAAGGTCCCCCTGCTCAAGAAAGCAAATATCCATTCCCGTCTAAAGTTTGCCAATGAACATCTGAATGATTCAGAGGACAACTGGGTGAAAGTGTTGTGGTCAGATGAGACCAAAATGGAGCTCTTTGGCATCAACTCAACTCGTCGTGTTTGGAGGAGGAGGAATGCTGCCTATGACCCCAAGAACACTATCCCCACCGTCAAACATGGAGGTGGAAACATTATGCTTTGGGGGTGTTTTCTACCTCGGGGACAGGACAACTTCACCGCATCAAAGGGACGATGGACGGGGCCATGTACCGTCAAATCTTGGGTGAGAACCTCCTTCCCTCAGCCAGGGCATTGAAAATGGGTCGTGGATGGGTATTCCAGCATGACAATGACCCAAAACACACGGCCAAGGCAACAAAGGAGTGGTTCAAGAAGAAGCACATTAAGGTCCTGGAGTGGCCTAGCCAGTCTCCAGACCTTAATCCCATAGAAAATCTGTGGAGGGAGCTGAAGGTTCGAGTTGCCAAACGTCAGCCTCGTAACCTTAATGACTTGGAGAAGATCTGCAAAGAGGAGTGGGACAAAATCCCTCCTGAGATGTGTGCAAACCTGGTAGCCAACTACAAGAAACGTCTGACCTCTGTGATTGCCAACAAGGGTTTTGCCACCAAGTACTAAGTCATGTTTTGCAGAGGGGTCAAATATTTATTTCCCTCATAAAAATGCAAATCAATTTATGAAATTTTTGACATGCGTTTTTCTGGATTTTGTTGTTATTCTGTCTCTCACTGTTCAAATAAACCTACCATTAAAATTATAGACTGATCATTTCTTTGTCAGTGGGCAAACGTACAAAAATCAGCAGGGGATCAAATACTTTTTTTCCCTCACTGTACCTGGGCCTGCCCACCATCATGAAGGTTCTTAATGATTGTGAAAAAAAAGTCATTAACCATGAAAGCACACATACATATATCCGGACATCACAATCAAAGCAATCAAATGGCTTTTACTAAGATCAATTAACCTTCCTTCCGCACTTCTTTTCCATCCACTACCAATGGGGTCTGGCCCCACCAGAAGAGGCGACTGGGTAAGGGTTTATAAGAATAGATTTTACCCTTTCTGGCAAAAAAACAAGTGCTAAGATGTTAAAACACCGAACATAAATCTTTTGGAAGGAATCATGTCATGTCTACATTAATCACACATACTTTGTGGCGAACATGCAAACAAAAAAACATGCTCTGGTAGTATATGCATTGCCTTTGAAACTGATTGGTCCACACCAGAGACAGCTTTCTTCAGAGCCTCGTCTCAAACAGTGTTAGACCAGAGGATGCCAAAAGACGAACGGCACAAAGACAATGCACTTGCAAAAGGTTTCTATTTAGTGTTTTAACATCTCAACACCTGTTTTATTGCAGGAAAGGGTAAAACCCATTCTTATATTTTGATACTGGAAAGGGAGGTCCCATCATGGGTAAGGGTTGTTGAGAGTCGTGAAGTTTGAAATTACATCCGTGAACCTCGTTTGGAAGCGACTGTGCGGTGGCCGTCCCACCGCTAATCCGCGGCCACTCAAACGGTGTGTGGTAATGAGTTTGTCAGTAAAGTCCTGCACAACTGCCCCCTCCATATGGTTGTCCCTATCCATAAGCAGATTCCTGCTTTCAATCCCGAAATCTGATTACCCAATCCCGTAATCGGATTTGTCAAAAAATCCCCCGTTGGACATGGCTGTCCCCCCTGCAGCCGCGCGCCTTTCCTCTCAATTGGGCCCAGTGGACAAAATGTGTGCCATGTGTGAGCGTGTGTGTGGGGAGCGTGGGGAGCGGTCGTGGAGTGGTTAGCGCGCTGCGCTACGAACCTAGCGACACGGGTTCGATTCCCGCTCACGGCCAACACCAGTGACGATTATCTGAACCGGTCCTGGGCCTCCCCTAGGTCGACTCAGTCTGAAATGAGTACCTGGTGCGATGTGTAAAACATCGCCACTAAGGAGACAAAGGCAGCCAGGCGTGGTGTTGGCCTCCCACCCCCTCGTGTGCCATTCCGGCCTTTATAGGTGCTCGCTAACAGCACTTGCCCATACAATCTGTTAAGGTTATATGGGGGGTCTTTTTCCGGCAAAAACAACCCCCTATCTCCTCGTGGTGCCAGATGGCAACGTTGTGGTGGGCAGTGCCGTGGGGGAGGACCAATTTAGATTGACCTTTCCCTTCATGGCGTTTGTAACCACCACAGCGGCCATATGGGAGCTCTAGACGGGTGCAGGGGCTGATAACCCCTTCACCTTCAATCAACTACCACTAAACTACGAGGTAAAAAAAAATATTAAGATTGTGCCGGAGGCCCCGGGGGGACAGGCATCTATGACGTCTCCTGACCAACCCCCATTTGGCAGAGCTAGGAGATTGAATCCTTACCCTCGGGGCTCCTCCAGAAACAACAAAAAGCCACTATGGACAGCCACGTGGAATGTTCGAATGCTCACTGCAGAGGAGAGGCTGCCACTCCTCTGTCGGGAGCTGGACCGGTACTGCCTGGATCTGTGGTATTCAAGAGGTCCGCTGGACCGGCTCTGGCTCCTGCCACCATGAGGGGTGGATAGTCCTCTACTCGGGGCAGGAGACTGCCAAACAACAGGGAGTGGCTCTTCTTCTGAACAAAAGAATGAAGGGGGCATGTGAGCGTGGCGGTGAGGTGTGGGAAGCTGTAAGCCCAAGACTACTTTAGGCTCGCCTTCCCATCAACCAGAGGCGTGGAGTGGTGGTCGTGGTCACTTATCCCCCACTGAAGACGAACATCCGTGGAGGGATGCAGGCAAAGCCGATGAGTTAGATGCATTCTATGACCTCCTGTCAAAGGTGCTGGCTAAAGTGGCCCCTCAGGATCGAGTCATCTTGTTGGGTGACTTCAATTCCCGAGTTGGCCATGATGCTAGTACCTGGGCTGGAGTGATTGGAAGACATGGACCAGATCAGCTCAATAACGGTAGGAGGTT